CTTGTAATATTAATTAAGAAATATGTTGGTCCTCACATCACTAACAATTAAATGTTCAATTTGCTCAAAAAAAATATAAAGTAATTTTAAAAACTGTCGATTTGATGATTATAGCGATTAAAAAAGGGTAAATATAATTGTTTTTCTATATTAATTACAAAAATTTTAATGAAATAACACTTAAAGTGAATACTGCATTTCAGTAATCGTTATATATTAAGCAAGAAAATGCTAATGTAAAATTTAAAGATTAAATATAAAATGAAACTTTCACACAAATAACAGTAGTAATATACATAAATTAGATTCATGGAACAGAAAAAATCTAGCATAAAACTTATTGTAGAGTCAAATTTTGCAAACAAAGAGTGTAAAGAATTAATTCAAATTGCAGCAAACAGTGAAAAAAAAATAGAAATATTAGAAGAAAAGAAAATATATGTTTCTAATAAGTTAACAGAAACTCTTAGTGTTAAAACATATTTTACTCCATTACGGCAATTAAGTTATAATGCAGATTTAACAGTCTTACAGGAAAAAATTAATGTATTAAAAAATTATAAAGAACTACAAAATAAGTTTAAACAATTAACTGATAACAATAAAAATGTCCAGAGACCCCAAAACCTAACCCTAACTAAAATTTGAACCTATTTTTTCACATGTTACGTTTACTCGAAAATGATTGGCTGACACATATCGCGACATGTGTTCATTTGCCCAATTGAACAGAATTACCATAATTTTGAACTCATTCTATTCTCCAACGGCATTTTGATACCGTCGGAGAATGAACTAAGTTTAAGATGTACTAACTTTTTAATGAATTGTATTATTTTTGCACATGATGTAACTGATTTGAGACCAGTAAACCTGCCATTGTAAATACTAATTTTTAGGTTAAAGAATTTATGACCATAAAATCAATTTTAAGTATTTTATGAATCAACAATGTGTGTAATTTCCTTTTTATTTTATTTATTTTTTTTGTTTTGAGTTGCATTTTCACCAACCCACAACATAATAAAAATGATTGAAGAAATTTCGATAAAGAGGAAGGAAAAGAATCAAAAATAAAAATATATACATATTTACAAAAAAGTGAGTATGAAAACTGTTAATTGAAAAGTAATAATCGTAGGAATGAACAAAATACATAATTATAAATGAGTGTAACAAAGGATGGTTAATTCTGAAAATGCCTGTGTATTGCTTATAACCCAGCTGCTAATATTTCAAAAATCGCCAATTTCTCAAAAACCCGCATAAGAAACAACACTTTATACATTAACAAAAATTTTTCATGAGCGATTTTAACACTAATATAACCTTAAACTTAAAGAACTTTGTCGTTAGTGAAATTTTTGATGATGATCTGCAATTTTCGGCTTGAATAATCATGTGATATTACCAGGCTTTTGCCTGTGAAGATGTTCATTGTGATGGAGAACAACAAGGCTAAGGCTAAAGCGGAATACAAAAACATTTTTACTGTTAAAATTTTGAAATTATT